CTAAGTGCATAGTTCAGGGTTCTCAGCATTTTCTCATGTCTTTTGGAAGGTGGGGACAAAATTCAGGTTTGACCTGACTTATTTTCATTCTACGAAACTTAATTTTAGCTGGACAGTGGCTTATACTGTACTTGTATTCAACATATACACTGTATAAAGTGCTTTATGTGTGGAAGTCTTTATCCTGTTCTATATGTTCAGTGCCAGTAGTACACACTACTGGCCTATCACCACTGGCTCTGTTAGACTCAGTACCACTACCATACCTTTGATCAATGAAAAATCTGGTTACCTGTCTTCAATCTTTGTGTAACATTTAGTTTTATCTTCCAAGTGTTGAACATTATGGCACAGCACTATCATAACTAGCATGTCTCTGCCTGGTGCGACATATGGGAATGCGTATAGTGTTAGACATTTTTTTTGTGCTCTGAATTCATCCTGTTTGGTACAGGATTGGTTTTACCTTCAGCTTTGCAAAGTATTTCATGTTTGGGTGACCAACCTGCTTGAGCTGTCATCTTAGTAATTACCTAAGTGTAATTACCTAAGTGTAGTTACAGGATGAGAGCTACGCTCGTGGTGTCCCGTCTTCCCAGCACTCTTTGTCATATAACGCTTTGAAACTACTGACGGTCTTGGCCTCCACCACCTTCTCACTTAACTTGTTCCAACCGTCTACCACTCTATTTGCGAAGGTGAATTTTCTTATATTTCTTCGGCATCTGTGTTTAGCTAGTTTAAATCTATGACCTCTTGTTCTTGAAATTCCAGGCCTCAGGAAGTCTTCCCTGTCGATTTTATCAATTCCTGTAACTATTTTGTATGTAGTGATCATATCACCTCTTTTTCTTCTGTCTTCTAGTTTTGGCATATTTAATGCTTCTAACCTCTCCTCGTAGCTCTTGCCCTTCAGTTCTGGGAGCCACTTAGTAGCATGTCTTTGCACCTTTTCCAGTTTGTTGATGTGCTTCTTAAGATATGGTGAGCAACTTATGAAGCTGAAGCTAAACTTAAGGCTTGGGCACAAAAGTATCAGCACTGGTGCTCTAAATTCCCAGCTTCTGCAGATTCTTGGTTGGATTCTCTTTATTTTGAGAGGGATCACACACTTCCTATTTCTGCAACAGTGAATTGAGACTTCAAAATAGTAAAGATTTGTTATCTGAGGGTCTGGTTTTCCTTTCATCCAATAAGTGCTTGATTTCCCCATTCTCCATCATTGGCTGCAGTACCCAAGTGGCTTGGCTTTGGTCTTCTCTTGCGCAGCTGCTAGTTGGTGTGGGGACAGAGGCTGGGTGAGCATGCCTTTGTTGTTCCTTGAGGGTGTGCAGAGGTATTCCTTGCCTTTGCAGAGATGCTCAGTTCCTCTTTCTTATAAATGAGTGAAGACAGTGAGTCACAATAATGAAGCTGAAGATATGATTGTGGCAAGCCTCAAATTTAAAATTGCTGTGTCTTGCATTGTAATTTTAATTATTATAGTCAAGAGAAAAGAGCTATATATTTATTTCTTAATATTTCTTAATAATATAAGATTATTCTAAATCTCTTTTACATGAAAGATTTTATTATACCATCCATTATATTAACTGATTTACATTCACTTTTGTATCATAATCTGTCACTGATAATAAATTAAAATTCTTTTGTATTTTATCATTTAAACTTTGAAAATATCCTATAATATCTGTTTTTGCTTACAGGGGAATTTACCAAGCTCAGTGACCGAAGAAAAGCACACTGTAGCTGCTGCAGAGATTTCTGGCAAATCATGTTCAAAATCTGCCATTTCAGATGATTCCATAAAAGTTGTTGTTGAAGATAGTAGTGCTTCATTGAATATGCAATCTCACAAATCACTGAAGATGGTAGATGTGGACTTGGTGTCTTTGCCAGATTTTTCACAAACACACAAAACTTCACCAAATAAGACCATCTCACCATGTGAAGCAACCTCACATGAAGACATTAGATCTCGAGGTGATCCCTCCTCTTTAAGTGATGTATCTACTGAGAATTGCACATTTTCCACAAGTCAAAGATCTAGTATGTCATCTGTATCAAGATTACCTTTGCCTAAATCAGCATTTTCTCGGATATCTGTGGTTTCCAAATCATTACCTGCTGTTTCCTCAGGGAGTACATTTCAGTTAAACAGAGTAATGCCTGCAGCAAAGCTTTCTGTGGAGGAAACCGTAACATCTCAAGCTAGTGTACCGGTGAAAAATGATCCTTCAGCATCAGTGCAGCAGAACACAGAGAATAGGTCAGTAACAAATATTAGAAGGAAGAAAATTAAGGTGATGCCCATGGTGAGCAGCTCAAGGAAAGGAAATGTGGCAGAAAAGTCAAGCACTAAATTTTTGAATGCTGAAATTAACAAAGAAAAGTTAGATGTTGAAGTAGAATGTTTGGGTGAAAAATTAGGTGAAGTGCCAGATAAAGCCGTGAAAAATGTGGATGTTGAATGTTTAGGTGGTCAGTTAGGGGAAATGCCAAAAAAATATGTGAGAAATACAAATGATAGTGATGATCAAGATATAAAGTTTCTAATGCAGAATAAAAAAAACAGTTATTTAGAAGTGAATGCACCAACTAAAGAAATTCAACAAATAATAACAAATGAGGGAACAAATATAATTACAAATACTCAATCCCCAACAACTAGCATTTTAAGGAAGCAAGTTGAATCAAGGGATGGAAATAAATATTTGCAAACACTCTCACACAGCAAATCTTCAACTGAGGAAGGTATAGATACAAAAGTTCCAACAAAGAGTGAGAAACTCGTAGTAACAAATAAAAGGGACACAAGTGTTGCTCTACTAGAAAATAAAGGTTTGGAGTTAAAGGATGAAAACCAGAGCTCCAGTATCATTAATGTGGACACTATCTCTGCAGTGACAGTTGCAAGCTGCAAAAGGAGATCAAAAATTCGTGCAACACCTACCTTATTATCTAAAAGGAAAACGGAAAAGAAATTGGATATTGTTGAAGAAACAATCAAAGATAATCATTTGGAAGTTGTAGAGGAACCTATACATGTACTGGAAAAGCCTACAGTTCAAGAAAAGGGTCATAGTGAAAATACCTTATTGGGTAAAAGGAAAATGGTAAATAAATTGGATATTGTTGATGAAAAAATAAAAGATGATTATTTGGAAATTGTAGAGAAACCTGTAGTAGAAGAACCCTTACTGGAAAAGCCAATAGTTCAAGAAAAGAAATGTAAGGAAAATACTGGTGTTATTGGTCCACATAATTTAAAAGATAAATGCCATGTTGAAACAAGTGTTGATTTACTAGTAGATAAGGGAATAGAGCTAAAGGATGAAAGTCAAAGTTCCATAAATAGTAACATGGACACAAGCTCTGCAACAACACTTACAAGTTGCAAGAGGAGATCAAGAATTCGTGCAACACCTACCTTATTATCTAAAAGGAAAATGGAAAAGAAATTGGAAATTGTTGAAGAAAAAATACAAGATAATTATTTGGAAGTTGTAGAGGAACCTACACTGGAAAAGCCTACACCTCACCAAAAAAATCATAGTGAAAATACTGGTGTTATTTTTATTGATAGTTTAGAAGAGAAGTGCGATGTCGAATCAAGAGTGGCTTTAGCAGATGGAAATCGAAGCTCCGGTATTAGTAATGTGGATAAAAGCTCTTCAACAACACCTGCAAGTTGCAAGAGGAGATCAAGAATCCATGCCAGACCTACTTTATTGTCTAAAAAAAAAATGGAAAAGAAATTGGATATTGTTGATGAAAAATTAAAAGGTGATTATTTGGAAGTTATAGAGGAACCCGTACTTGAAGAACCAACAGTTCAAGAAGGAAATCATAGTGAAAATACTGATGTTATCGTTCTTGATAATCTAGGAGAGAAGTGTAACGATGAAACTAGTGTTGCTTTGCTAGAAGATAAAGATTTGGTTTTAGTGGAAGAAAATCGACGCTCTGTTACTAGTAACATGGACACTAGCTCTGGAACAGCACTTGAAAATTGCAAAAGGAGATCAAAAATTTGTGCAGCACCTACTTTATTGGCTAAAAAAAGAGCCGTAAAGAAATCAGATATCATTGAAGAGAAAATCAAAGATGATTATTTGGAGGAACACTTACTGGAAAAACCCACAGTTCAAGTGGAGATTCATAGTGAAGATAACAATGTTATTGTTCTTGATAGTTTAGAAGAGACGTGCAATGACGAAACAAGTGTTGCTTTGCTGGAAAATAAAGGTTTGAAGTTAAAGGATGAAAATAAACGCTCCGTTGTTAGTAATGTAGACACTAGCTTAGCACCAACACTTGCAAATTGCAAAAGAAGATCAAGAATTCGTGCAACACCTACCCTATTTGCTAAAAAGAAAATTGTAAGCAAATTGGATATTATTGTTGAAGAAAAAATAAAAAGTGATTGTTTGGAAGGTGTAGAGGAACCCATACTGATAAAGACAACAGATCAAGACAAGAGTCCGAGTGAAAATACTGCTGCTATTGTTCTTGATAGTTTAGGGACGATGTGTGATAGTGAACCTGTTTGTGATAAAAATCTGGTTCCATCTGTTAGGGTAAATTCTGTGCGTGAACCTTGTAAACTTGATATAAGTGAACCCAAAACACTTCACAAAGAAGCTAATTTGAAAATTGAAAATAAGGACTGTAATTTGGTAGAAGGTAGTCCAAAAGGAATGAAAGGTGATCAGACATTCATTAGAAGAGATGGAGTAGAAGTAATTGAGGATAGCAGTTTTGATGACAGTAATGGAGACAAAGAAAATTCTTCATTTCCCTTCAGCAGTTCAAAGACTACAAAGAAAGAATCCACATTAAAAGGAAGAAGTAAATCACAAGTTTTGCTGAAAACAAAAGCTAAGCCATCACCAATAATAGCTAACGTAAAGAGGGCATCTGTAAAGACTGAGAAGAAAGTGAAGGATGGTGTCACAAATGATGATGGTTTGTCGTCTGATGATTCTGAAGAAATAACAGAAAAGCAGATATTTAGAGAAAGAAAAGAGAAATACAGAAAGAAAATGTCAAAAGGAGTATTAGAGCGTACTAGTATGACCATGTTTGATCTCATTTTCTGGAATCCAGCAACCAATCCCATGCCAGGGCGACCAGAATCCTCTAAGAAAAGAGTGCGTCTCTCAAGTAAATGTGAAACAGAGAGCATTACATCAGATGTGATAGAGGAACAACAGATTGATGACCTGGGATTAGATACAAGTGACCCTGCACCACAGTCCAGCCCAATTTTTGACAACGAAACCCAAGTACTTAGAAAGTCATCTGAAGCTCCTAATCTTCAAGTGATAGAAGCTAAGGAAGAAAAGGAGGAGGAGGAGAAGGAGAAAGAAGCGGAGAAAGAGAAAGAAGCGGAGAAGGAGAAAGAAGCAGAGAAGGAGAAAGAAGAGGAGATGGAGAAAGAAGAGGAGAAAAAGGTGACGGAGAGTAAGGGTGAGGAGGAGGAAGAGGAGGAGGAAGAAGTGGAGCAGGAGGAGGGGCGGGAAATGCCCTTAAAGGATATATTTGCTCCAAGAGTTAAGATTGGTCCAAATGGTCGGATTATCCTTGATGAAAAAAGTATAAAGATTCAAACTACTGCTGCTAAGAATCGTGATGAAATTCTGAGCAGAGCAGAGGTAGTTGAAGAAAGTAATGACTCTGCTCACTATGGAAAGTGGAGTAAGAAACGACATCGTTCAAGTGAGTGGACAATGAAAGAAACTGCTAGATTCTATAAAGCATTATCTACTGTTGGTACAGACTTTTCTTTAATGGAAAGTTTGTTTGCATGGAGATCTCGAGCTGAACTGAAGACAAAATTCAAGAAGGAGGAGAGGTTTAACCGAGATTTAGTTGATCGAGCCCTGAAGGACTCTACACAGTTTGACCTTTCTCTGTTTGATGATGAATCTGGTAAGTTATATATCTCACGTTAAATCTGTCTTGAATAACATCCTGTTTTATAGTAGATAGTCATAGACAGCTTCAGTGGGGGATTTAAATACTGTACAGGCATAAATGTACTAAAATGAGAATAGAATTATAAGAAAAATTCAATTATCAGGAATTATCAAAATTAAAATTCTGTATAGTTTTCTAAATTATCACACCTGGTGCCATGACAGCATACTTGCACCACTGCCACAGGGAACTTTTCAAAGGTCTCTGACTGTGTTTCAAAATAAAAATAAACTAGAAGATTCATGTCAAAATCATTGATCTAACACCTTTGGTCATATTTTTATTTTATATTTTTTAAATATACAAGAGCTGTTCCATTTTTATGAAGCCACTAGCATGCATAGTATTTCGAGCAGATCCTTAATCTTAATTTTCCCTGGAATACGACCCGCCAAATCATTTAACAACCTGGTACCCATTCACTGTTGGGTGAACAAAGGTGTACAGTTAAGGATTAGCACCTAGTCAGTCCTCCCCAGCCAGGATACGAACCCAGGCCAAATCAGTCGCAAAGCACGGGGGAGTGTCATATGTCATGCGGACTGCTATTCAATGACATATATTTAGACAGTCCTAGTGGAATACTGGTAGCATGCTTGTCCTATACCTCATGAGTAATTTTGGCTGGATCCAAGTCCTGGGCAGGGAAGATCAACTGAGAACTGATCCTTAACAGTTCACCCCTGTTCACCTAGCAGTAATTGGGGATCTGGTTGAAAACCAATTGTTGGTTTATGTTCCAGGGAAAACTAGTAGGGTATGACTTAGGTTGACTTGTGGGAAAAATAAGATCGAATTTCTGGAACTCTGAGAAGCTCTGCCTCCCACCTGGCACTGTGGAAGATTGTTTTTGTGGAGGCATTTCAGAGATTTTTCAGTGGTCACCCAATATCCAAACATTCTCAAAGAAAATGCTTAGTGTTTTGCTTTAACCTTGCTCCATGATGCAAGTAGGTGTGAAATAGCATTTGCTATTTGTGGGCAGAGATAATTATAGAAACTTAGCATATCAATCATAGCCCTTGGCTTCCAGTGCAATAAAGCTAGATTCGCTACTGGAGGACCTTCCAGAAAGGGACAATTCAATGCACTCAGTGCTTTATTTTTTAAGTATTTGACAAATATTATTTTTAAAGAACTTAATTGAACATTACTACAGTATTGTTAATATTAATAATATAGTGAATGATTTAGTATTAATCTTTTTTTTTATGTTTCAGTCATACTTATATATGTGGAGTTGACCATAGTACTGTACTGTATTAGAATAGATTTTAGTATTGTAGCCTAAAGTACAGTACAATACTCTATATACATTCTATGTTTCTCTAAATATGGGGAAAAGTTTATTGTAATGAATTATAACACTATGCTCATTGTGTTATAGATTATGATCCAGAAGAAGATAGGAAGGCTACACGCATAGCAGAGAGAGCAGAAGCTAAACGTAGGCGGCTGGAGATGAAACAATCTGTGAAGGAGCAAGAAAAGGAGCTAAAAAATATGGAAAAGAAGGAGAAAAGAGCCAGAATCCAAAACCGCAAGAGAATTTTAAGACAGGAGTGCAAAAAGAGAAGACGAAGGAAGGGAGGTTTGTCTCATTTTATTTTAGTGCTGTTCAGTACTTTATACTGTACAGTACTTATTTGTTTCAGAATGCAGGAAATTATTTTTACCATGACAAAAAGTGGTTGAGTGAGTTTAACATGGTTTATAAGTAGTATAGAAAGACATACGAATGTAGCTTAACTTTTCATAAGTGGTAATGTAATTTTGTTTACAAAACGATGTTAAAGATTAAATTTTTTGAGATGTTTTTATAAAATTTCAGAGCTAAGCCACTTGGTTACTCTCTAAGGCCAAGAACTTCCTGGCCCTAGAACAGGTCTGTTGACATTCTCCATCTTGCAACATGCATTCGAACCGATTCAGCGGTTTCAACTCTTTTGACCATGTCGTAGCTCAGTCGATTAAGCCAGCGTCTGGGATGCTCTTAGACGCAGGTTCGAATCCTCGTCACGGCCCTTGTGGATTTGTTCATTTGATGCATCACGTTATTGTGATTTCTGTGTGTAATAGTTTTATTAATTTGTGTAGGTAAGCTTATTGTTAAAGCAAATTACATTTTGTATTCACAGGTCTTGGTGGTAGTGACAACAATGAGGGGCCTGATGATGTGGACCAAGATTTAGTTGTCTGTGACACAGCAAATGCAAATTTAGCAACACCCAAAAAATCTTCAATAGCAGTTAAAAAGAAAATTAAGAAGAGGAAAACAAAAATAAGACGGCCAGTTAAAAGAAAACAGTTAGAGCGACGGTAAGTGTTTACAGTATATGCTTTAGAGTAAAAGCAGCTAGAACCAGCCAGTGTGGCTGGTGATTGCTAAGCAGTATTTGACAAAATGATAATTAACTGTCCTAGTGATTATATGCAGTGGATGATAATGGGGGTTTCTTTGTGTTCTTTTGATTTATATAAAGCATTTGGGATTGAGATACTCTCCACTGCCTCCCTGCACCTAAACTATATGGCAAGACCATTTGTTATTTCTGGTTGGACCCAGGCCCTGGCTTGAGCAGCAATTGAGGGGCCTCTTCTCAAAAAGCATTATGTACTTGAATCACCCATTTTCACATAAGGAAATGTTGATAATGTACTTGTTAATAATACACATTTTTTATACTGTAGTTAGCATGAACATTTGAAAAATCAAGGACACAAGCCTCATTGAGGAGGTTTCTGAGTTATTAATTTGCTGTGTTTTTTCCATTTAATGTTGCTTTTATTCAGGAGGCAGTTTACTTTTGATAGAGCCAGACAATATTGTTAGACAATAGTGGTGATATGTCCAATGAAATGAAATGCACATAATGTACACTTTTAGCTTTGTTTTAAATATACTTTAAATATTTATACATCATTTTAATATTTTAGGAACTCTCTTGTAATTAGTGAAGTAACAGTTACCATGGAGACTGTAAATTATGATGTGTCAAGAGAACCCAACAATGAATGTGTCATTGAGAAAACAATTGTAGAGAATTCTGAAGGGGACATTGAAATCATTGAGATACCCTCCACTACAACTCCTGCAGCTGAGGCAATACATGGTAAGATATACTGTATTTAGATTTACTATACTGTATATACTGTGGTATCTCCAAAATCATTATAGTTCTAATTATATATAATTATATAGTTCTGAACCTGAGCTGGATTTGTGTGAAATCAAGATTTTTGAAAATTACATTTTATTCGTATTTATCACTAAAATAAAATAAAAATAATAAAAAAGAAATTTCTAGGTTTTTCCTATAGATAGCAAGTAACAGAAAACATGTTTATGTATATTGAGACATTATTTATAAATAATAGTTCTGTGTTTATATAAAGAATAATTATGCACATCATCATCAGCATCTAATGATTATATTATTATTAACTGAATATGGGATATGGGGGATTTGATATAGGGTCATGTAAGGGGAATTTTAAATTTTTTTGCAGGGATATTTTTGCGCAGACCTTAAGCCGGGATTGGCAGATTAAAAAAATTGGTAACCTGCTCTAGCATCTTCATTGACCCTGAAGGAACTGCAGGAAAAGTTTTCAGCAATGCCAGTGCCAAGACTGGACTGCCTAGTCCAGTATCTGCTGGACTGTCATTATGGCATGGTCCAAGTCCAAAGGGTACATTGGACTTACCTTAAGGGGCAACTGTATGACATTACTTGAAAGATGCTTTTCATATTTCCTCGAAACTGTTTTTGTATTATAACAATCTTTTTATCTTTGCAGAGATTGAAAGTGCCCAGAATATGTGGCACTTTCCAGTTTCTGCCATTCAGACCCATGAGGATGGACATCAGACCATCTTGGTACCAGCTGCAGATGGGCAGAAGATTGTACCAGTACCATTGTTACCTCCTGGAACGTCTAATGTGGTTGTTGTTGCCACTGAAGCACCTGATTTGCCTGGAGAACAAATATATCATGTTTATGTTGTCTCTCCTCTGGAAGGTACTGAGTCATAATACAGTACATACATTTTATATTTAGTGCATGTAGGTTTTATTATTGTGAATGTAACACTGTATTTAAGGAGCATTTTAACTTGTAAATATTTGGTTAATGATAGCATAAAAATTTTATGAAGTCTATATAACACGTGGATGCTATATTAGCCCGAAATGTGATAGTATGTCATAAGAATGTCTCCATTAATTTGAGATGTTTCAAAATGCATGTTTTTGAGTATCCTGTAATATATTGTATATATCATAATATACATGTAATTTCTCATGAAATAATGGTCTTTACTCTGTCTTTGAATGCTGAGGAGAGAAAAAAACACTAATACTTGGTAGGAAACAATGGATATTTTGGTTTATTCAGCCATGCACTCAGACAGTAACTAGTCATGTTTTGCAAAAAAAAACAAAAAACAAAAAAAAAGTATTGTATGAATTATATTTGAAACCTTGCTTCTTGTTTGGTAACATTTATGATAAGTAACTGTTTTTTTTTTAATTGTTGTTGTTATTTGAAAATATTTATACTGGGCCATATAACTATTTATTCCTATACTTTTTTTTTGCAGTGGATAGTACTTTTTGAGTTATTTAGTTTTTTGCAATTTTTGTGATCAAATTATCTTCGTGAAAAGATAAGTATCTTCTGCCATTATTCTTAGAGTTTGTGGGTTATAATATAAAGATTTAGAAGTATGTGTTTTGGTGAATGAAGTCAATGAACTTTATTTTTTTTTTCATTCTTTTTGACATGTCTTGTGTGGATCCCTTTATCATTGATTTTGATGATAGGTCTTAGTATACCTCAGGTATACTAAGTATACCGTAGACATATACCTCAGATTTCAAACAACCTTGAATAAAGGTGTTTGCTTTGTAATTTCCTATAATTTATGGTGTTTTAACCTTTACATTGCTCCAATCAATTTGAGAGTGATTGGCCCAAATGCTCCAGTCATCTGGAGATGATTTAAGGTATCCCTGTTTTATTCAAAAGCACCACCATTCTAGTGTCATTTGACACTAAAGACATCTGTAAATTGTTTGCCATAGCTGGAAAAATTCCTGAGTTCCTTTGTTTCCTTCCAGGGCTTTAGTAAAAAAATGCTGACCATGTCTGGTGCATCACCATTCAATCACTGAATATGCATGGCAGCCATGCTAGGAACCATTGAACTTTTAACAACTGCAAATCATTGATATCATATATATATTTGAATGCAAAATGTGTGAATTGTGCAATTATACGATTTAGCTATACGGTATATATTAATATATATATATATATATATATATATATATATATATATATATATATATATATATATATATATATATATATATATATATATATATATATATATATATATATATATATATATATATATATATATATATATATATATATATATATATATATTTATATATATATATATATATTTATATATATATATATATTATATATATATATATATATATTTATATATATATATATATATATATATATATATATATATTATATATATATATATATTTATATATATATATATATATATATTTATATATATATATATATTTATATATATATATATATATATATATATATATATATATATATATTATATATATATATATATTTATATATATATATATTTATATATATATATATATATATATACGGTATATATATTAGTATACCGTGGAACTTCGGTAGCCGAACGTCCCTCTTTACGAATTTTTCGGGTTACGTGCTCAATTTCTTCGTAAAATTTGAATCGGTTTACGAGTTTTGCCTTGCTTTGCGAGTTTGTTGATACACATATGGGTCAACCGAGTGCGTCGTTCCTGGTGGTATGGGTGACCGCACTTCAGTTTACCAGTGCATCCCACATAGTAACGGTTGCGCTTGAATTCTTTGTAAAGAATTTCATTTTCTTTCAGCTTTTTTGGTTTCTAAAGATAAAAGTAATTACTTGTATTATATACCACACCATGGGAAACGACGAAAATGAGTGGACCTAGTTATTCCCGCGTGGCACCTCGTCTAATTTTAACCAAAAAACCAACTTCTCCAGGCCACTACAGCTAAACCATTATGGGTAGAGATTTTACACGGATATTCGTGCTTCTAGGTTGGGGTAAGGGTAGCTAGCCTTCCTTAAGGGGTAGCCTGCCCCCTTGGCACTCCTCCTACCACAGTAACGGGCGGTGGGAAGTGGCTTTCGCGGAATTATGTATTGGCTATGCACGTTTAGCTCACTGGGACTTGGTGGAGCACCGCCCTGCTCTTTATTGTCCAAAATTCATTGTTCCTCCTACAATCGCACATATCCTTGTTTGATATCCTGACTTCCAGGACGTGCATGTACTGTATCTTGTTTCCCGACTCCCTCGCAGTCATTTGTCCCTTGGTAGAATCCTTGGTGAATCAGATGCCTTTGATATTGCTCGAATAATATGGCTTTCTTCACGTATTGGCATCCTTGGTGATATCTAGCGCCTTTTGAGCATCGTGCAACTTTGATGGTGCTACATAGTCTCCCTGGCTAGGCACATTTTGATAATTACTTACTTCCTGGATGCTAATTAACAATGTCTAAAGATAAAAAAAATTGTGTTGAGAATGGCAATGTATTTAAATATCCTGCATAGTTGAGGAGTTAAATGTTGATATATTACAGCACTGTGGGTGAAACTAGCATTGGTACAGGTATTATTTGCATTGGAGTTGTATACTAAATGAAAGATTAAGTACACTTAGTTAAGTTGTATAAACATGTTCAAGAGTTAGTGACATTACTTTTAGGGTATTAATTTATGTGAATTGATTTTTATATTTTTGTTTATGTATTTTGTGATACTGGGAAGCATTGTGAGTAAGAACTATATGCCTATGAAATGTGAGATCAATAGAGGCTGCAAATATAATAAACTATATTAGATACAAAGTTTAAGAACTACAATATATAGGCTATGAAGTGTATGAACAATAGAGACTATAAAGTTTAAGATCTGTAGTGGTTATGAAGTGAAAGAACAATAGACTATGGTGTGCAAGAACTGTAGAGGCTATAAAGTGTAAGACCTATAGTGGCTATAAAGTGTAAGAACTATGGAGGCTACAAAGTGTATGAACTACAGTATAGAGGGGTATTAAGCGTTTGTAACTAATAGTTACAAAGTGTAGTGGGTAAAGTGTATAGTAAGAGAGTGAGTGGAAACGTATATGAAATTGTCATCATGACTCCATTCCCACTATCATGGGGTGGGAAGGCATCAGCCTGAACTAAATAGGAAAGCAATATAATGTAGGGAAAAATAATAAATGCTCAAGAAGACACGCCATCCAATCATCATAGCTTTTCCATGCCGCAGCATCACAGAAATAGCATGTCACACTTCAACAATACATCCACAACAGTCAAATTGTTCTCAGTCAATATTTAAGTACAGTATATGACAAAACATTTGCTCCCTTTTAACAAATGCACATATAAATAATATATGAACTGGATTTTTTAATATTAAATATATTATGAAATAAAGTTTTTACTTACCCTTCTCAGTTGTTTTGTACCGTAGAGATTTTGTGATCCTCTTCAGTTTGTCAGGATCATGGCACAGTTATTCAGCAACACTTATGGCACCGATGCAACAGGGTGCCATAAGTGTACTGTACTTGTGGCACACTAGATCCATAACATGGATCTAGTGTTCTGCTTACTGTACACTAGATCATATATGCCACCTTGCAGTATCATAAATAGGTTGGGAGCAAAAGTGTGTTAAACATTTTCATAACCGGGCACAAGTGTAATTACGTTCTTTTATTTCATACTTTTTAGGCTGGTAAATATGTCAGAATGCTGTTGAATTTCAAAATCCAGCACGTTAAAATCATCTGGACAAAGGAAAGGGGGACTTTTGGCAAGCCGTCAGCTTCCTGTCCTCATTGAGGCCACTAGAAATATATAGTACCCCTTCGGCTATATACGATTTTGGGTGACAACATTCAAAGAGTATGGTGTTTTTTTGTTCATTTAATATTTATTTAATACAGTCCTGGTTATAGCAGTCGACTGTTAGAAATGGTATGATGCTGTGATAGGTTGAGATGAGGATGCTAGTTGTTACGTCCTACTGGCGGAGTCTAGTAGGATGTAGTGCTAAAGGTTGCCAAGACGGAGAGCTCGTTCGAGGCCTGGAGCCAAGACCAAAGAGCTTGAATGAGGCTGGTGGTAGCAAGTTCGAAGCAGGGCAAGAATAGCTGCCCGCAGCCCGACCTAGCGAGAACGGGAAGAATCCCTTCCTTCCCTTCCTTCCCCTTCCTTCCCTTTCCTTCCCCTTCCTTCCCCTTCCTTCCCCTTCCTTCCCCTTCCTTCCCCTTCCTTCCCCTTCCTTCCCTTTCCTCCCTCCCTCCCTCCCTCCCTCCCTCCCTCCCTCCCTCCCTCCCTCCCTTCCTTCCTTCCTTCCTTCCTTCCTTCCTTCCTTCCTTCCTTCCTTCCTTCCTTCCTTCCTTCCTTCCCTTCCTTCCTTCTCTCCCTCCCTCCCTCCCTCCCTCCCTCTCCTCTCCTCTCCTCTCCTCTCCTCTCCTTTCCTTTCCTTCCTCTCTTTCTTCCTATTTTTTCTTCTTTGTCTTCGTCTGTTTCTTTTGGACCTCACTCCTGCCCGTAATGCTACTGGTGTCACTGTCACTGGTAGTGAGTAGAACTTGTAGTTAGAGTCAATGTTCTCTGGCCGTAGTACTTTTGGATCACAAGGGGGGTGGTAGGTGGAAAAGAACATAGAAACTGTATTGGAGGGGACCTAAACATCCGTTCTAATGTGTGTGTGCCTTCCTCCGAGGCTAAGGGTCCCCTTCTTTCAGCCAGAGGTGTTTTTTTTTAATTAACAAGCTTAGGTATACACAGCAATGTGCTCCTATCCTTTTCTATATGAAAGATTACACAGTGTAGATAAAAAACTAGCTATAAGTTCATCTATTATTCTCATCTCACAGGATGGTTAGTCATACATGGAATCAGGGGAGAAAACACCAGCCTCAATACAAAAATAAATCAACTGACTAATAATTCAGGAAAGTGTAAGGCTGATCTATTAGCCTCCACTAGCAAAATCTGGGTACAGCACAAGAATATCTTCCAATATTCCTGAGTATATGATGTGATTACAGAGCTCAAAGTACCTCATACCATTTGGTCTGAATTATAACAGGACAATCACAGAAATAGTGTTGGAGAGTATGTCCAAGCTCTCGTGTATTTTTGTTTCTTACGATCATCATTTATAATTGATCAAACAAAGCAAGATATTCTACTATGTTCAAAAAGTTCCTATTACCAAATATGTGCAAGTTGATCATGTGATCCTCTGTAAGATTGTGCATAGTAAAAATTCTTACTACAGCAATTTTAGTAGCTATAAGATTTTTTTCCAAGATTTTTCTCGTTGTCTGATATGCTTTTTATTGCTATGAACAATCCATGCCAGGAGTAGGTATGTGGTTACCCCCGGGCGTGTATTGCAATGGAAGCTGCGGCGTTGGAATGAATCGAACTTTTGTGGATGGAGTGGTTGTCGGGATGGAGGGGGAGGAGGAGGCTGTTGGGGGAGTGGCTGTGGACTCTGTGACGTCTGGGGCTTTCCTACCACCACCCAGGCAGCTCTGGTGTCTGGTATACGATATTAAACAAAAATCGTTGTTTATATAAACGAAAATCAGTTAAGACGCCTTGGCTTTTGTGGCTTTAATAAGCTTAGGGAGCATTGTAATAACGGAGATCGAGCCACTTCGTTGCGGGTCCCCTTGAAGAGGTAGTGTATATAGGAGTCCCCCTTCAGCAGCGTCACCCGGGACGGTTGCCATCTAGCGACCAGCAGGACGGGAACGGCTTCAGGTGTAAACAGGCGCTGGTAGAATTTCCCGTCAGTCGTGTGGCTGCAAGCTGGCAGTTTTTACCAACAGCATCGACTGTTGAAGATACTGGCTCAGCAAGGTTTTGAAGAACTGAAATCTACAGTGTGTGGGAATTGAAGCTCTCCGTGGGCGACGGCAAGGTAGATGAAGAAGCCTTGAGGCAAGACAGTTCAAGTTGAAGACAATATACATAGTTTGAGGATTTATCCCTGCAGGATAAATCCTCCCTGTCTTATAGTGTTGTGTGGGGGTGATTAGAAAACTGGTGTGAACAATATTGATAATTAGTGATTGGAAATAATTCGGAATTTTCGGTAACTTTTTTTGATTATTCATTTATGTATTATGCGCCCCTATGTATCTATCCTGTGAGCGCTAGTGGAAAGGGGTTACAGAGGCATGTAATGGATTCAGAACCCCTGAACCCCATTTAGCTAAGCAAATATTACAGTTTGTATAATCTTGTTACATAATTTTATGTATATATATATATATATATATATATATATATATATATATATATATATATATATATATATATATATATATATATATATATATATATATATATATATATATATATATATATATATATATATATATACTGTATAAAGTATTTTCAGCATAAGGGGTTCAAGAACTGGACCACAACAGTCCTCCAGCTTATCAGTTTAATTATGTAGTGAGGTAGTTGCACATACGGTAATTTTGATTGGCTTATCATGCACTCTGCACCCATCCAGTGAGCGGCGGTGGACAGTTGACAATCGCCTGCATGCACGCCATACAGCTAAACAAACTTTGCGATTTTTTTTAATGAAATCCTTACAAATTTCTTGAACATTTGTGGTAGAATTCTCAATTGTTTAATTTCTTCACGTGGAATTAGATAGTGACTTAAGGAATGTGAACAGTTTACATTCGCTCAGATTTACTTCAGCAAGTAAACTCGCAGAGTAGTGGGGGAAGTTACAGAGGCACATAATGTTCCTGAATCTAATAATTCGTTTAACCAAGCAAGTTTAAAATTCGTTTAACCAATTACTCCTGAGTTTCTTACGTAATAGTATTAATAACATGCGCGACAGCAGCAGGGCGCTTGGGATTTCCCAATACGTCAGCTGCTTGTCATTTCATTGAGGTCCTAAATGCTCACAGCCGAGTCACTTCTGTCTTTGAAAAGGGTAAATGTTCTTTATACAATCATTCACAATCAAACATTTCTCAGCCTCTATCACTGCATCGCGTAAATCTGTAGTAATTGTTTTCCTAGTGTGAAGTGCCTCATCGCTCCATTGATTTTCTCTTTCAGCCTTTTTATTCTTTATCACGCCTACCCTCCCCCCCCCCTATATCCCTTAGGACTTCCTCCATCCTTTACAGTTCAGGGTCTCTCACACACACACACACACACACACACACACACACACACACACACACACACACACACACACACACACACACACACACACACACACACACACACACACACACACACATACCTTCCCCTCCCTCCCTGAAGCCTTTAGGGTGCCTTTCTCACATGTACACCAGTTAGGGACACAACGCAGCACTCTGAGACGCCTCACCCTCCCCCTGCCCTTCGCTCAGGGCTCCAGGATGCCACACGTACACCCCTCAATGCTCCAGGGTGCCTTCTTCACAACACAGGTGTTAACACCTTAGTATCCAGAATGCATAGTTTCGTGCCGTGCACCATATGTGTCCACAGCTTGTGCAATTGATCATGTGGTGTTACTATTGTTCTCTTTTACGCTAATTAAAGTATTCCCCTCTAGGATGCGAGTACCTGTGATTGTGATGACGGTGGTGGGGGCGTGTGTGGGCATATCCTGGCCTGCTGAGCCCGAGTCAATATGGGGTCCCTTTACTCCACTCACACCTGTTGGCGCACTCTTATTCGAGTCCGTACCCGCCCGTGTACCCGCCCGTGCACCCGCACAAGCAGCCGGACGTGAATCCGGACGTGCACCCGCACAAGCAGCCGGACGTGAACCCACCCGTGCACCCGCGCAAGCAGCCGGACGTGATCCCGGACGTGCACCCGCACAAGCAGCCAGACCTGAACCCGGACGTGCACCCACACAAGCAACCGGACAAGCACCCGGACAAACACCCTCACAAGCAGCCGGACAAGCACCCGGACATACACCCTCACAAGCATTTGGACATACACCCGGACAAGCACCCGGACAAGCACCAGGACATACAGCAACAGCTGTGGCCATCGAGCTTGGTAACCGTATCCAGGAGGTGAGTTTATAAAGGAATGTACCTGTGAATATTTGAATGTACACAATGTTAGTGATTTGCTGTTTTGATGCTGTGTTGTGTTGTTAAGTGGGTAAATATGTGCTGGATGGTACGACCGTGTTAGTGATGAAACACTTAAGGAATCACTTAAGGAATGTGAACAGTATATATATATACTGTATGTATATATCATAGTTCAAGCAGAATTACATAGAATAAACACTCCCACAACAATTATACACAATTTAAACATATCACACACAACAATATAAATATAACTGACCCTGATGAAATTATTCCCATCTTCAAACACTGCCAAAACATTGCCACCCATCACGCTCATCTGAACCACTCAGCACTCCATAACATATGAACAGTCGACACATGGGGGCGCCAAAACCGACAACACACTTCGCCTGACGACATCATTCACTTTGACAACCTACATTCCCAAACCGAACTTCAGACTCCCCTGACTAAGACTGAAATCACGATGGCTCTCACGGGCTCTCGTCGTAGTGCCCTTGAGAGGCTCTGAATCAGTCAATCACTCATCAAGCAGTTACCTGACCCTTTCGTTTCTGCTCTCACTGATCTGTATAACGTTTTTCTCGCCTGCGGATACTTTCCTCTTCCTTTAAATCAGCCACAGCTGTCATCATACCAAAACCAAGATGCGTACTAGATACTGTTGGTGCACCGGGTCGACCCGAAAAGGTGGCAGTCAAATGTTAAGAACCCCCCAGAATGACAATTTGCCATCAGACTGTGTGTTTTACATGTATGAATAGATGATAAAAAATAGGCGCTTGGCAACCATCATGTCATCTCCACCAACTTCATGTGGGTACCCATGGAAGCCAACCCTCCCCTCTCATAAGGGCCCAATGGTACGACTCCGATCCGCTTATGATAGTCCCCTAACACACACCAATCACCTTACAAAGTTTAATTAGCCTAGCCACGAGCGTCTTGGCTCCAACCTTGAACTGACAGACATTGTATTTTCAAGATATAGATGAGCCTTCTCAGGTCAAAAGGGGAAGTTATGCAAAGTTTGATTTGGTGTTGGGCTTTAAACCTATCAATCACTGGAGGGTTAATAAGATCCCCACAATAGCTCAGTGACCATAGTCCAGGACTAAAGTAAACTCTACGTACACCAAGAAGTGGAATACGCCCAATTCTGCACATATGTCCCTGACGAAAACTTAGCTGGATTATGGTCATACATGTCAGAATAAATGGTGGACACATTTTCTGATTTAATATTATAGCGGGGAGATAAGCGTATGTGTATTCAAAGAAAACTACAAAAAGTTAAATATTTAAATATTGGTAGGACAAATTAGTAATCACATGGTTGTGTTTACAGTTGGCGTTGGACCTGTCAGCAGAGATCAGCGAGGACTCCACGGTGACTTTCTCTCCCATAAGTGTGACTGCCCTACTCTCAGTGTTACTGCTAGGAGCTCGCGACATCTCCTATCAGCAGCTATACAATATTTTTCATCTCCCTGCTGGTATAGCTGAGGCCTCATTCCATAAGCACTTCCAGGAGCTCATCGAGTCAATCACCCAGCGCAGCCCAGGCGTCACAATAAACATAGCCACTGGTCTCTTCCTCGGGAAAGAAGCTGATGTCTTATCTGATTTCACCAGCAGTGCACGTGTGCATTACGACAGTGAAGTCCGTACCTTGGATTTCCGCGATAATTCCGTGGGTGCTACTAAAGCCATCAACGAGTGGGTAAAACTACGGACAGAGGGTATGATTCCGGAACTACTAACTCAGCCACTCAGCTCTCAGACTGTGTTTGTGGCAACCAACACCGTTTTTTTCAACGGCACTTGGGAGACACCATTTAACCCTTCATTTACTACTGATGCACCTTTTGAAACTGGAACTGAAACTCTTCAGGTGCCCATGATGCTTTCTATTTTGGATGTACCCTATATAGACATTCCTGATATGGATGCTCACATGATAGCCCTACCTTACAAAGGTGGTCGTTTTGCCATGTTCATTCTGATGCCTCTAGGCCCTGTAACCGCTAACCTGGGGGATCTTGAGCTTCGTTTAGAGGCAAATGTTATTAATAATCTCATCAAGAACATGGTCAACACCAAAGTTAGCGTGGGTTTACCCAGAATGCGCCTCAGCTACAAAACTAGCCTCAAGAAACCTCTCGCAACTCTTGGTGCTGATTCTATTTTCCACCCTCAGAAAGCTGACTTCAGTAAACTGACAGCGAATCAGCAGGTGTGGGTGGACGACGTGATCCACGAGACTGTGATAGAGATCTCTGAAACAGGGACGAAGGCCGCTGCTAGCAGCTCTGCTTCTGGAAACCGCGTAGGAAGTACCGAGAGATTTGTTGTTAACCGGCCAGTTATCTTCTTCATCCGGGACTTACGATCAGGGCTTCCTCTCTTTTGGGGAAGGTTGATAAAGCCTGAAATACTAGGTCAAGCCTCAGGCTGAGTCTCAAAGTGAGGTAGATTAAGAATGTTGATATTACTGTTATTTTAAGTCTCGTAAGAAGAACTAAGGTTGGAGGTAGCTGCCTGCTCCGGAACTCACTCTGGATGTCTCCATGTCGCGAAGGAAATACCTAAAGTGCTCTTCATTACTTGCTAGAGCTTTCGATATTTGTTTTGCATTAATTTAAATTAAATCAAGACCTGCTCTTGATGATGTAGATGGTACAAAATATGTAGTTGTAAATATATGTATATTAATGCATTTAATGCATTCAGCTACTGTATTTGAATTTTCATTTCCTAATCCAACAAAACGCTTATGTAAATAATTATTCACTTCATTCTGCTTCCAAAATGAAATAAGGTTGGGGACACCAGAGGAAGATAGAACTGGCTTATCTCACGATTACGTACTGTAACTTTAGCTACAGTAATGTAATTAGATCACTACCTTTGTAATTTTGTCTCAAATTTCAGGTAATGAAACCTAGTATTAGTAAACAACAAAAGGAAATTGATTAGCCTACAGAAATTGGAGTTCGGTTCCTGAATCCGTTGTGTGACTTACATACAAATTGTGCTAAACTAGCCAGATTGTGACTAAACTGTTGATGTATGTGTTAACAATCTCTGTAACTAGCTCATCAGTGCGGTAAGCTAATTGAATTTTGGTATTCAGTTCCTGAGCCCAATATGTACCTCTGTAACGTTATCCACTAGAATCGCAGGATGGGTATGGGCATTACCACTCACGGGATGGGTATGGGCATTGCCATTCACAGGATGGGTATGGGCATTACCACTCACAGGATGGGTATGAGCATTGCCACTCACAGGATGGGTATGGACATTACCACTCACAGGATGGGTATGGGCATTGCCATTCACAGGATGGGTATGGACATTACCACTCATAGGATGGGTATGGGCATTACCACTCATAGGATGGGTATGGGCATTACAACTCACAGGATGGGTATGGGCATTACCCCTCACAGGATGGGTATGGGGTGCACAATAAGCGAACTTAACTTACTAAACCTATAAGTACATGAGAGTAAATATAAATCACACTGAAGTATGTTATATAAACCACATGCAAGCCTAAGACACGTCCAGCTACAAACATCGGCTAATAACAAGAGAATGAATGGAACGAGCTGACAACTAGTGACCAATAGGCTTCAGAAGCGCGCTGATTCGTCTATACGACAGCGGGCTGAAGGCGATTGGACAATGTTTTGTAGTGTGGAAGGCTCTTATAGTTATTAGTGATCTGCGAATCGTATGAGGAGCTTGCAGTAGACGGCACGCCAGGAGCTGGTGCGGTGGCTGGTGCTGGAGACATTGGTGAAGACGGGCAGTGTCTGGGGCTAGCGTGGTGGCAGGTATTTCTACATACTTTCTATTTAAGGATAGTATTTATATGTAACCATTTATAGGCCCATAAATTTATATACATTAAGGATGAGGTTAGTGATGATAACAGCGCCCAAAATATATTTGTCAAACCCTATTAAACCATCCAACCATTACCTAACCTAATACCGTGAATTCGTCCCTAAAGGCAAATATAAATTAAGAACTTGTGCAGTGTATGTCAAAAGAGCGTAATCTGAGGACGGTAAACCTAGCAACGGACGCGAAGCGTGCACAGTCAACTTTGCTTCACTGTGCAGTATGCATAGTGTACTCTACTAGTTGTGCTTGCGGGGGTTGAGCTCTTGCACTTTGGTCAGTGTCCTTGGTTCCGTTGGGCTTCCCTCTTCAAGGAAGGCATTAACTCTTCCCTTTGAAGGTGGGCATGTACCTTGAACACTACCTTTGCGTGAGTATGGATTTTTCCCCTGCAGATGGGGCTTAGACTTCCTTTGTACATATATAGTTGGTATATTTCCCTACCGGTGGGGGATGGAACGTTCGCCTTCCGGTAGGCATGGATCCTCCTTTTTCCGGTGGGCATTGACTCTTTCCATGTAGGGGTGCAAAGGCTTTTACCCCTTACGGTATGCATGGACTCTCCCTGTAGATGGGTGAGGCAACTCTCCCAGCAGATGGGCATCAACTTGCTGTTATTTATAGGAAAATAATAATTTCAACAGTAACAGTAATATTTATACATCCAAAACACTTACAGAATACAATTTTCGTGGAGCGATGACATGATATCAAACAGAAAGTAACAAACATTACAACAGTGTGTTGTAATGTTTGTCATAACATACGGTGTTGTAATTCAGATTACTGAATTGGCAATGCTTAAGACATGGATGGGGGATGGCAAACCGAGACTGGTATAAAACTGTAGGGGTTTGGCTTGCCTTTTTCATCGCAAAATGTCATGAAGTTCGCATTAGGAGCCAACCCCCATTTAACGGGAGCAATGGGGCCAACCCCAACCCGCTCATGCTAGTCACCAACCTCTCACCATTCACCCTGCAATGTTGGGTAAGGTTAGCCCCAAGCGTCTGGATGATAGGAGATTGTCCGGCACTTTGTAGGGACCGTCAGCCCCAAATAATAGGATAAATAGCACCCGGGGGAGCTTGTGGAGCTCTCACGTGTACGTGCACATATTGTAATTCTCCTATCCACCGCTTATATATTTGTAACTTTTATTTTATTTAACCTTCATTACACAAAATGAGTTACAAACATAGTTACATACAAGGTATAAAATTATTTGACTAAGGCTATCAAGTTCCTCCAGCTCCTCATATGATGTGCAGGAACCATGGATGCAGTGTGAGTTCCTCTCTTGATTGCTACGCTGAGGCGATGGAAAATGAAGCTGGTAGCTCTAAGGTCTCTAGCTTGGTCTACTACTATGCGACCGTCCCAGCGGGATATTTAGTAGGCTTTTGATGGTTGTGGCTGGAGTGTTGGGGCTGCGTCAGAGACCCCCTTAGTGGTACAGTGTATAAAGTTGGGAGTGTGTACCCACTGCCAGTTGGTGTAAGTAATCTGGTGGAATTTCCTTCACTACGTTGTCAGCTGCGAGGGGAAGGACAGGAAGGCTGGTACGGCGATTTTTGTTGCTGTGTGAATGCCGAGCATTTGTTTAATGCGCTTGGGGTTTATATATATAACACTGCGTCAACAGCCGAGTGAATGCTGAAAACTTCTAGGAAATTCCCAGAGCATGAGAGTAACACCAGCCCCTCACATTTAGGACAAGAACAACTTCAAGCGCCAGGAACCTTTACTGCCAGAACACCTACAGTCATCCGCGCCCAGCGACGATGCACTGACTAACTTCACATCCCACTCAAACAGTAATACAAACACAGGAGATCCATAGTGGACGTCAACAAACTTTACCTCCCCACTCAGCCACCAACCTCACCCAACGCATCCAACTTTTCCGCCAGCCACCGACCTCTCTCCACTATCCTAAAATCTTTGGAAATTAAATTTCCCAAAGAAACAGTGTTTTTCTTTGACCGCCATGAGACTGATAAAACAAATAACGGAAGTGAATACAACAGGGGCGAAAGTATATGAACAAGAGCTATAGATTAAAAGGTTTCATATTGCTTGAGTGGTGTGTTGTGCGATGCGCACTTGTTTCTTGTCCATGTACTTGGACCTTTATTATCAGTAACCGCTTCCGGAGAAACAAAAATAAATCTTCTCATGATGACCTTTTGTTATCCTACTTTTATAAACACTGAAAAACCAGTTCAACTGACATTGTCCTCTCTAAGGGCACGTTTAATCAAATGTTTCATAGCTTCCAAGATGATTTGTCGCGCTGATGAGGAACTATCACCCCAGGATGAGGAGAAGGAGACATGATAAATTCTTTCAGCGTCCTGGGCTTCCTGGTGAGCACTCTGACCGGTTCGTGAACCAGTGGCCGATATGCGGCATTCCCAGGAAAATGTATCACGGTGCGCCTGGCGGGGCGAGGTCTTGGTAGTGATCCCCAGTGTGGCCCCAGTGACATTCTTTGACCTTTGAACGAGACAGTGACGTCATGTCTTGGCACAGAACTGGGGGTGACTTCACTCCGATTCGCTTCATCTAACAATGCGACGTGTCTGGCGGGGCGGAGCGTGTGTGATGACCAGGGTCGTGACCACGCCGAAGCGGAGTTAATGTCAGACTGACATGAGGCACACAGAGGAGTGTTCGGGGACTGATTGGACGTGTGTGGAGTTTGTTTCATCGGTAACTCAGCAAAATATTTGTTTAATACGAAGGAATGTTCTATTTCCGGCAAGTTTATTGTGTCTTGTGCAGTTGAATCGCTAGGAAATGTTTTCCTTGTTTCATGGTTGTTCCTTAGTGTAGAGTAAGGCCAATTTCCAACTAAAGCAGTCAATTTACTGGTCGATGGGTAACTCTTCCATGGGTGCTGGTTCGGTACCTGACGATTAACCAACAGATGGTTCAAGTATTGGGTCTTCTCTCTGTTATAATTTACGGAATCATAAGAATCAGAAGGTTGGTAAAATGGCAAAGAATAATACTGAGAAGGATCTAACTTTTGTGGACTGTGACTGTTGGCAGATATGACCAATCTATCGGGGGAGTTGCTCATTGACTGGGGATCAGGTGCAAAGTTCAGGTGAATGTTAACATGCACGTCCTTGTTCTCGCTACTTAAGGACTGAGGTTTTCCGTTGGCGTTGTTCCCTGTAGCCCTGCCTTCTCTAGTAAAGTCACTTCCTGTCGCCTTGCCTCTAATGGAGTCGATTCCCGTTGCTCTGCTTCCTCTAATGAAGTTGATTCCTGTCGCCCTGCCTCCTCTAATAGAGTCGACTCCTGTCACCCTACCTCTAGTGGACTCGAGCCCTGTCGCTCTGCTTCTAATGGAGTCGATTCCCATTGCCCTGCTTCCTCTGATGGGGTTAAACCCTGCTTCCCTGGCTCTTCTGCTGAAGTCAACTGAGACCATCTCTGTGTTTTGAGGTTTTAATTGTTTGTTTAGAGACCGTTTCCTACTGATTTCAGCACTTCTCTCATCATAGGGACGAACTGTATCCCGTGTCCTCCGTGTTCTGGTCACCGCTATTGTGTCTCGGGTAGTTCGTGTACTGTTTGCAGATATGTGTTTTTTAGGTTCGGACATTGATAATGATTTCCGTTTTCTTTTACCTATCACGAGGGACCCAAGAACTGAGCCAGAGGACAACATACTTGATGAATTTGATTTTGACGTTGGTGGTGGAAGAATACTGTAATGAGACGAAATTGGTGTCATTCTGTGATTCTTCAATCTTGCGATTGCTTCTGGCAAGATTTTACCATCTGAGTGGGCTGATGTTCCATCCTTTGCGCTGGTCGTATCTGTCTCGAGTCCGACGGACGTCGGTACCTTTTGGGAGGCGCTGCCCATCATGTCGGCCATACCCACATCGTCAGTAAGGCCGTCAGGAACCTGTATGAAATAATTCTGGATCACATGTGGTCGATCAGGATACAACTTGGTGGATAAGAAAGGATTTCGTCCTGCTTGGCTGAAACCTCTCGTTGATTTGTTACCAATAAATATGGACTCTTCATTCAGGCTTTCTTGAATGCCTGAATGAGACAGGCTCACCTGTCTTGTTTGATGGTTCTGACCCAGAGAACTTGCTAGAGATCTAAAGCCGGGAGTTGAAAGTTGGAGGTTTCCAGTGTGGAAGGTTGTTTGGGGTTGATGAATGTGTGTTTGGTGTAATGGGGTCTGGTGTGGCGCCTTGAAGGATTGAGACCTGTTCAGATATTTTATTTCAGAGTTGGGTTTTATTTTAGATGACGCACCAATAGAATTTGTAACTATGTTTTCAGATAAATCTGTAAATTCCAGGTATTTGTCTCTAGGTGATAAATTTATCTGTTCTTGAGTGAATGTGTTCTGAGTGACATGGAAGTTTGACGGTGTGCGAGGTACTGAAGTTGTACCCTGCTCTTTTACGTTGCTTTCAGAGTAATGGCTATTTGTAATATGATGAATACTTGAAATCTTCGGTGCGTCAATCTCTATTGAAGGAACATTTTTTGTGTAGTGAGAATTGGCGGCAAAAGAGTTTATGCTTTCATCGCTTAAAGTAGCGAGAGACAGTTGGTCTGGGTAGTCTTTGAACTCATCCTGACGGTGAGAATCAATTATCTTAGGCGATTTTGTAACATGAACTTTTGTCTGCAACGTTGATAAGTAATTCTTAACGGTAAGTGGTAGTTCTTGTAGATCAACACTGATCTGGTCAACATCATCATGGCGGCGCTCAGCCGTCTGCGTCGACCCTGCGGCGAATTTGGACGCGGCTGAGACGAGGCGGCCGTCCACGTTAATGACCAAATCTAGTGGGACCACCGTGCCGTCTGACTTGACCTGACGCAGGGACAGTATAAAGTTGTTATCAGAAGTCTTGGATACTTGCATGTCGTTTTCAACAGACAATACATCTATTTCGCTCAGGCCTTCGCTAACTATGTCTCTTGGTGCTTTATCTGTATTGTGTTGGGACGTAACATCAGCTGATGAGATACTGAAATGCTGGTTGCCATTTTGGTTCTGCGTGTTTGCCGATATTAACTGAGATTCTATAATCCCTCCACTGTTCTCAGTGAAAGTCTGTACCAGATGAGGTGTAGGCATGGGGGTGCCGAAAGTTGTAGTGGAAATAGCAGGCGCGAAAGATGTTGTAGAAATGACAGGCGAAAAAGTTGTAGTGGTTGAAGTAGGGGTCTGGGGTGTTGTGGATATTAACGGGGAAATAGGGAACACTACGGTAGGCGTCGGCGAGCCGAACGCTGGGGCAGAGGGCGCTGGGGATCCAGTGTTCATGGATGAAGGCTGGGAGATGGTGATGCTAGTGTGGCGGTGGAAGGTGGCGAGTGGTGGCATGGGTGAAGGAGATCCCAGCACCTGCCTGGCGGTGGGTGCTGGGCTTACCAGCGATGGCTGGTGGTGGGTGTTTACAACGCTAGTTTGCCTACCAATGTGTATGGAGCTGCTGGAGTCACCAAGTTGCTGCTGTTGCCGTTGCTGCCACCACTGGTTCTGGTTCGACTGTTGTTCATTCTGCTGTCCTGCAGAATGTGTGCTGGTGAAAGAATCCACTCCTGAATTCTGGTTTCTAGTAAAACGTGAAGTCTCGGAAGACTTAAAATTTTGTCCAGCAATAAAACTGTCATTTAGGTTGTTGGCACCCGAGGAAGAATTTGCATCAAGGGTGGCACCTGCCAGCGGGTTGGTCGCTGGCGAGGTGTTGACACTCGCCTGCTGGTTATTCGTGCCAGTGTCGTGGCTGACGTGGCAGAAACAACCGGACGGGACCCTAAAGGCAGCGAGGAAGGCACCATTAGCAGGGGCCTGAGGATCGACGGCTGCCATCTTATGTATACTATACCTCTGGCGACAGGTGGAGGTCACAGCCTCAGGGACGAAGCTGCACCGCTCCCCAGAGAACCTGCAACAGTTACCATGTATTATTAATAAATTATATAGCCCATATTTTATGTTGATTATAATAACTCTAAAGATTATAACGAAGAAATGGCAATAAATGACATAAATAATATTTATTGGCTTGATACATCAATTATGGATACTTATTTTTATTTATAACAATTTTGCAATGATGAACAAGATGGATTGATAGGCAGGTAACATTTAATGGAAAGGGCAGTGAAGGATTGCATGCGAGATGAGGTTTAAGTGTCACTGATGATTTGACGCTCAAATGTTTAAAAAAACAGATCAATATTCTGCCTAAGTGCTCCCTGATGATTACCTTACCGTTTTTTTCAGGAATAAAAATATGCTAATCGTGTCAAGATATTCATATCTCCACATGTGAGTAACTCATATAGCACTGGAAGAACAATAAGCAAGTGAAGACGGTCGGCAGAGTGCGTGTATAGTACGCGAGTACTATCTTCTCTCCCGGAGAGAGTCGGGAGGTGCTCACCTGCAGACCTCCATGCGGATCATCTGTGGGAAGGTGTCAGTGTTGATGATCCTCAGAAAGTTGCCGTCCGTCGCCCGCCCCCACGCCGGCCGCTGCTGCCTCACGTCCGCCTCGCACACGTACCTGCCAAAATAAATGATGGTATTGTACTCTCCGACGTTTCCTCTCACTGACTATATTCTGCTCGCCCCATGGGTATCTTGTCCTGTATTTCGTATGTATGCATGTATGGTATTGCACCGTCATGGACTGGTTCATGAGCCTGCATGAGCCGTGGACTCTCAAGGCGCGCCCTCACACAACTGGCCGACGGTCAGGTAATATTTAGTTAGAAACAAAGGAGCCTTCTGAGTGCCATCTACTGACTGTTTAAGGCCCATCTTGGAGTATACAACCCCCAGCATCTAACCAAACCTGAATAATGAGCACAAAACAAGACTAGAAATATGCAATAACGGGAACTAGACTTCTCCACACTGGAGGAGAGGAAGATCAGCATTGACATGATAAGGACATATAAAATTATCAAGGAAATTGACAAACTAGACTAAGAACCAGTGACATGCCAGAAAAAAAACTTTTTCAGCGCAAGAGCTGTAAAAGGAATCGAATGAGTTAGACGAAGAAGTGGCTGAAGCTAAAGCAATGAACAATTTTAATTTTAAATATAATAATAATAATCATTCGCTGTGTCGGGGGACAGGCAGCTATAACCTTGCTAGAAACCTTTACATACTCCTGTTGACGGTAAATTATTTTGCAATGTCTCCTCGTACATGACAAACGCAGCTGGGCCTCACCTCTCGTGGGGTTGCGAGGGGCGATAGAAGAGGGAGTCGTTGGCGGGAGAGTGGAGCTCGGAGTAGGTGAAGACCGCTGCGTCCCGGCTGGCGCGCACCAGGTGGTCCTGCCATGCACTGCAGGTGGGCAAGTATGATGTTACTTTGTTAGTCCTGTGGGCGCATCTGCACGTACACGTGCATGTATACCTGTAGGCTTGTCTGCGTGTACATCTGTAGGCGCCCCTGTCTTAACAACAGGGACGCTTATTTGCGCCCCCTGCTTGTTATGCCTATTTGCATGTATGCCTGTAGGGTGCAGCTGTAGGCCGCTCACCTGAGTGTATGCCTGTGAGCTTACCTGCATGTACATCTGTAGGCTCATCTACTTCACTTACATCTGTAGACTCACCTTTATGTACAGATGAACGTTCACCCTCAAGTACCCCTGTAGGAATGCCTGTATGTACATGTTGTCTTTCTGTAGTAAACGAGCGAATTATCATCCCAAGACCACATGGTAATTTTTATGTACAGAAGTTAATAGTCCTGATTCAATCTTCTTAAGAATTTACCCGAAGGTCACTATCTCCAGTGGTCTCTACGGGAACAAGAAGCCCGCCACCATTATTCCTGAGAAACATTAACATCATTCTGAAGAATTAGCCTCGTTTTTAATAATCTCTAAGAAAAATTATCCCTCTGACGAAATGAAAGATCCCATTTAGTATCACCAAAAAACATGGTGTGATGATATGATCAGAATTGACTAGGCTCTACATTGAGAGACGGTCAGTCATGTCAGCTTCCTGTGTTCATTGTGACGTGATTTAATAATGTAATATATTCAGTTTCGTATAAATATTAAAATTTGACAAGATGACGGTAAACTTTACTTTTAGATGATGTTTCGCCCTCTTTTTAATGTGCTTACATCTGACATTTGTTATTCCTATATAATTGTATTGAAATTGTGTAGCATGGTCGTGTTTTTCGAGAGTATTGTTTGCTTTCATATTTTGTACAATTGTTATTTTTTGTGTGCCGTTGTGTGATATATTGTTTGATTAATTTTCTATTATTATATCTATTATTAATGGCATTATCTACAACCTAGCATACATTTTAGGCTTTCAGACAAATCGTTTCCATAATAATAAATTGTAAATAAATAATGTACATGAATTTTGTAAACAAGAATAATTATATATGTGACTGTATCCATTGAGATTTTGTAATTTGCTTTATTTATTAATTTATGAAAATTGTCACAATTCTTCTTTCTGCTTTTTTTCTTCTTCATATAATAGTAATAATAATAATAATAATAATAATAATAATAATAATAATAATAATTAAATAATATAATCAGCACACTTCCATAAATACCCAGAAGTATTTCAGTATTTATATCCCACGTACATTAACTCGTCATTCTTCACATATGCCAAAATATATATTATACCTGCATGCACATACCTGTATACACACCTAGAAGCATACACCAACCCATCGTCCAAAAATTATAGGACTTATAACAATTATTGGTCGAATATACAAAAGTATAGTTTTATCACCCCCAAAATCACATTTTGCGCTATTAAAGTATTACAAATGACATGACAAGTTTAAATGTAACTATTCATCTAACCTATCCTGTGCTAGGCCTAAATAATGATATACAATCCTCCATCTTAGGTCTAATTTAGTACATATATGTGCTACAATAGGCCTGGCAAAGATAAGGTTTGGTTGTTGTCTGCTTTCTCATACCCTCTTTAAAATTAACTACAAAGTGTGAACCCTTTTTTTGGGGGTTCCAACAAATTTTTGTATGTTCGACCAATAGTTGTTTTAAGTACTATTATTTTGTATAATTGGTATAATATACACATACACACACACACACCTGTATACATGCAGAAACAAGGTACCAGGATGAGCTACATGAATATTATAAGAGAGAAATAAAGTTGTAAAAAGTGAAGTGGTAGATGTAGATTTCCTGTACACTCAAATGTATACAACAAACTATAAAGACCTCAGGACTGCAATATTTGAGTGAAAGTTAAGAGGCAGAAACCAAAAGGCCGCACTTCTGCAGCTAGGTGAGTACACACCTCTATAGATATACTGGCATATACACCTATGAAAACACACACACACATATAATTCGGGAGTCAGTAAAGGGGTACTATGTCTCATGAAAAAGTCAAAAGCGACGGTCGTAGGCTTCATTTACACTACTTGTGTGGGCGTGACCTAACTACCAGATCGACCCGGGCACCGACAGGTATCCCATCTAGTTGGCTATGCAAATGAAATTGGTGGTGATGGTGGTAGCGATGGTGGCCACATAGTTGGTGCTGGAAGGTGTTAGGTCCACTCTTATGTTAGGTCGCATTCTTGTTATAGAGCTGACATGCTGGTTTCTTTACAGGGGCTACCATGCTGATCTCGTTACAGGGCTACCATGCTAATCTGATTACAAAGATACTATGCTAATCTGATTACAGGGCTACCATGCAAATTTGTCAAACTCATTTGCTTCGTTATGTGGGGTTTACAACCCCTCCCATAACGAAATAACATGCAAATATGATTGCTATATTAAGGATATAAAACACACAACCAAACTTATAAAATTATTATGAAGACTTAAAACTTATGTAACACTGTAAGCATCAATATAAATACTGTAATTATAAATAGTCAATATACTATAAAAATATGTAGTTTTAGACAAGCACCATACTGTAAAAATATGTAATTTTAAATAGTCATCATATGGTAAAATACAGTATGTGGTTTTAAATAGTCACCATACGGTAAAAATATTTAAAGTAGTGGCAGTTTTAAATAATCCCCATATTGTAAAACAAAAAAGTGTTCTTCTAAACAAAACAATATTAGTTTACAACTAGTCTTGTTTGTGCTGGTTCATTTTGTGATGAAGTGCAGACAAACGCTAGGATGGTTCTACATGTATGATAGTGGGCAGAGGCTCCGTACAGATGGGTGGTTCTACGGGTGGATGGTAGCACATGCGGATGGCTGTACTGGTGGGCTATATTGTAGTGGTAAAGGTGGGTGAGTGAGCAAGGTGAATTAAATAAATACATTGGTGGAATTATGAAGAAGAAATGGAACAGGAAGAACAGCAAAGTAGCTGGGAAAGGATAGTCATACGGGTGGTACAGAGTATACAACTATGTCTTGTTACATGGGGTGGAGGTGCGCTAATAACAGTGCAAGTGGTCGTGTAGTAATGCAAATGGGGTGGGGGCGTCTGGTGCAGTTAGGTGGGCGTCTGGTGCAGTTAGGTGGGCGTCTGGTGCAGTTAGGTGGGCGTCTGGTGCAGTTAGGTGGGCGTCGGTGCAGGTGGAATTACTTGTTGTCGTGGGAGTGGTCCTGACAGAAGCCGTGCTCACAGAAGGACGCTGGTGGTGGCGCCAGTGACCCCAGCACCTGCAATATAAGATTACAAGTTACACATGGATAACCAAGCCGCTGCAGCGATACAATATCGGCCGCATCTGCAGGATACATTATTCCATCTGTATAATACATTACTCCGCGTTGCATGGGAGCTCCTAATATAAACTGCGGCTACCTTCAAACAATTTGTGGTCAGCAAACTTGGTACTTACTTATCCCAGATTTCCTCAAAACCTACCACAGTGGCGCTGATCACTAATTAACTCTGTGCTGTCACTCTGCTGGACACCTCCGTATCCATTTGGGGGACAACATGTAGTGTCCAGCTCCAGAAACCTAGCGTTCCTGTGCTACACTATTAATTCTTGCCACAACGGACATAAATGGTGTACTAAAACGACCAAACCTAACCTATCGTTGTTGATCACACACTCCACTCGCGCTTCCAAAGTCCTAACTGTTTTCCAGCCCACATCGACTCCCCAATGGATGCAGTACATCACCAAGAGGTAGCTAAGTACCCTCAATCCAAGCATGTTATAATATATCGACCTTAACAAACCAATAAACCCAATTCGTTGCGAAAAGAAATCACAATATCTCTTGCTCCTTTGAACCGGCGCATGGTGTCCGTCACCCGAGCTGTCAGATGTAAGTTCCAAATCCAGTGTAATCTTCGAACCTGTATACAACCAGTCAACCAATAAGTTGTGTCTAAACCATTTTTAATTCATAAATAGGGGGGTTTGGTGGGTGGATTAATGAGCATTTGACTTTTGTCGATAAAAACGGGCTGAAGGTCAAGTGGTACAGTGGTCTACGTTCTCGAATCACAATCAGGGACCCTGGGTTCGATCCCCAGGAGGACAGATATGATTGGGTTCGCTTCCTTTCACCTAATGCCTTTGTTCACCTAGCAGTAAATAGGTACCCGGGAGTGAGACAATTGTTGAGGGTTCTAACCACTCACCTGCATAAATTCTTCTATATCTTCCCCGGAAGTTGGAAACAGCTCACGCTCTAGGTCACGCTTGGAGGTGACTTCATTCTGAATGGTGACCTGATTTTGACTTGTGACCTGGTTATGACTGGAGAATTGGGGCTGGCTGGTGACCTGGCTCTGGCTGGTTGCATGATGTTGGTTGATTGTCTGGAGCTGGCTGGCCACCTTGTCTGTGAGGAGACACTGAAGTTACTTGTTTTACTGGAAGATTAGTTTGTTTTAATCAGCACCTGGCACACCGTCGGACCCGCATCACCAAACAAGAAAAGGACATCTTGGCTTGATACTCCTTACAGCTGGATCTTGTCTAGGACTGAGGTCATACAGGCATCCTACCTCCCTTTCCTAGCGACTACCTTTCCTGTTATTCAAGTGTAAAAAAGCAGTATTCCGTGTGGTAAAGTTTATTTCACAGGAAAACGAAAAGAATATATGGATTTTAGGTAATTTGGGTAAATCTGGAAATACTATTCGTCCACGTCAAGAGAGTGACGGCTATGGTTTCAATTCTTTCTCCCAAATTTCGCTCATGGCAGTTGGCAGCCGACATTTGGAAGTGTAACTCCCTGATGAAACTGAATGGCAGATGACAGAGCTGTATCTAATTAGAACTCGTTTTGCAAGAGCACGTATACTTGTCGGAGGTAATGCAGAAGGAAAACTGTACATATAAAGTGAAGAAGAGCCATAAATAATTTATATTAATAAGACATTCTTTCCTTTTACTTGTTCTGTGAAGTTGTTAAGAGACATTCCAGACCCAGACCAAGTTGGTGGTGGCAAAACTACACACTCAATCTTCTAAGTTTATTTAATGGTCGTGTTTGTCGGTGATCGGTAAATTTTATCAAATAAAAGTATCTCGTTCATTGAACTATTACAGTCCGTTTTTCTTTCCTAATGTCAAGTCAATCAGGTTCTAGATAAGTGACCATTCCTGAAAAAACTGGAGGGGAACAGAATATCGAGGGTAAAAACGCTTTGTTTGGAACAAAAGGGAATAAATTTGAACTTGTTGACAGAAGCTACTCAGGTGAAACTAAGCCTGTTGAGGAGTTCTGGCTCCACCGTGGAGAGAGCCACAAGAACTGGCACGGTAGTCTTTTGTAAGATGATTAATTAATAAGGCACGATTATTTCATAATTAGTCAATACTAATTAGCTCAAATTGTAATATTTTAAACTGTAGTGAACCACCACAGTGTAACATGAATTAGTAAGAAGTAAGACACTTTGTGTACGTATTAATTATAAGATACTAGAATAAGTCGATAGCTAGTGTACCTAGCACATCTGGAGAGAGTTCAGTGTTAACATGTATAATTTCTTAACTTCATAACGAGCGTGGGAACTCTCTGTACGAGTTTATACAGGGAAACACCTAAAAGAACGATGTGAATGCATCAGAGACGTACCCAACACGTGGGAGGTGGAGCTTGGGTCGCTGGGCGCCCCGTGGTCACTGGCGGCGGCATTGGGTCCGTCTGTGCCCTTAGGTGTCTGTCTTCTCAATAGGTACACCGAAACATCCTCCTTCGCCTGTAACATCAGCATGAGAAAATAACGATATAGAGGAAAGATACGATGCCTTAAGTGTATCTGAGGTGCGTGAGTGTGTATACTCTCACCTAGCTGTATTTGAGGGAATTGAACTTCAGCTCCTGGGCTGTGGTAGCCCCTTGACTGCCAGCTGCTTCACTACAGGAAGAGCGTCAAGGAAGCGCCTAACCTGACAGATGCTGTGTTACAGGAAGAGGGCCGAAGAAGTGCCACAAATAGCAGCTGTTTCGCTACAAGAGGGTGCCAATGTATAAGGGTTTCATGATAGTGCTTCACCTGATAGCTACTGTTTTACAGGAAAGGTGCCAAGATAATGCTTCGTCTGTCAGTTGCTACTCTACAGGAAGAGTACCAAGGTAGCTCCTCATCTGACAACTGCTGCATAACAGAAAGAGTGCCAAGATTGTGCCTCACCTGATCAGGGCGAGCAGAGACCTCTTGTGTCCCTGGAGTCTGGCTCGTTTTGTCCTCCACAGTCTTGTAAGGAAGCACAATCATCTGCAATTGTACACTTTAATACAACCTGTCCACTCTTTAATACAACCTGTCCTATCTTTAATACATCTTTTCATCTCGTACATACAATCTTTCCTCACTTTAATATAACTTGTGCTCTCTTGAGTGCAACCTGTCATGCTTCAACATCCATAGGCTACTTCAAGGCTATTAAGTGGCTGCGCAGTATAATTCAAGTTAAGTAATGAGCTGATATATACCCAATCCCTCATTAGTATACATCGTCATGAGGAATTATTCTTAATTGATCGTTTAAACAAAATGACAAAAGAGTAACACAGAGTAACGCACATCAAAATTCTCGAGGTCCGATGGCCCGTCCGCGATAGGCTTCTCCCGCCCCCTCTCCTCGTTGCCTGAGCTCGACGATAATGATAGAAAATCTGTTCATAAAGACAATTAATAAAATAAAAAAATAAAAATAATAATAATAAAACTTATGCATACTGGGAAACGTTTAAAAAAATTGAAATATGAGGTCAAGAATTAGAAAGCAATGCAAATAAGAATGCAAAAATTAGACAGTAATAAATGCAAAAATACAAGAATTAGACAGCATTAAATACACGACATAGAATGTTTATTAAACAGCCAGCGACAAGTGCTGCAAATTAAAGAATTATGGGGACGGCTGGTATATTATGGGGACAGCTGGTATATTATGGGGACGGCTGGTATATTATGGGGACAGCTGGTATATTATGGGGACGGCTGGTATATTATGGGGACAGCTGGTATATTATGGGGACGGCTGGTATATTATGGGGACAGCTGGTATATTATGGGGACGGGTAGTGTATTATGGAGACCAGAATATTATGTACATCTAGCGTGTCTGTTCGCTTATTTTGTTAAAAAATAAAATGAAAGAAATGGCTTCCACTCACGTAAACAACAGCTAACTTTACACAAAAATATCACCTGAAATTCCTCCAGGCTGGAACATATCGTGGAGGGGGGAGGTGGTGGTGGTCGGGTGGGGGGCGTCGCCGACCTCAGCTAAGGGCGCCGTCACGCTCTCGTCCTGTCAAATGTTACTCATTAGTGCACAGATATCTCGGCTTTAATTCGTATGCATGATAATAAAAAAATAAATCGCTTCTAAAGCTGACATGCACTGATTTTAATTAGTTTTGACAGCTTCTCTAGTTTTTATAATGCAGAATTCAATGTATGGTAACTGACCTCTGAAAGGGGTCTCCACGGGCCATCAATTGAAGGTGAGTTGGTGATGCCGTTGGCTGACCAAGTGGACCTTCCCTGAGGCGAGCTTGGTGTTGATATGGAGATCGTGGGAGGCTGGTGAAAGACGGCGGAAGACGAAGATGAAGTTTGGTAAGAAGGGCTCAGGGTTCCTGAGATGCTTTCTGAAAATGACACAGTCTGGAACGTGGATCCGGTCGTCAGCGGGGAGGTTCCGGCGGGTGTAGACTGACTGGGATTATCCCGTGTCTCAGGCTGCTGGTGAGGCGCAGGAGTTATCGCAGTCACCACAGCTACAATCTTCTCTCCAAAGGAATTGGTCTTTGCGAAGATGTGATCAAAGAACTCGTCGCTGCTCTCAAAGGGCTGGAACCCCTCAGTTGTACTCCCTGGAGGTCCCAGGTCCTCTTTATTAAAGCCTGGCAGAGGCTCGAATGAGTGATTTTGGTTCTGGGAGAGCGAGGGCTGCGACATCTGTTTGAATGAGTTGTCTAACATATGGTTCAGACCTTGGGAGAACGATGATTCCTGCCTGAACTCTGAAGTTGCTTGACGTTTTGTGGGGTTCGAATCAGAGATGCCTTGAGGCGTCGTTATTTCGGGACTTTGTGGAAGAGATGTTACTAGGAACAGTTGAGAATCGTGGGGGGTAGTCTGGGAAGTTTGGGAAGATGCTGATGATCCGGCTATTGATGTGGTTGATGACTGGTGCTGAGGTTGTGAATGTTGTTGATGTGTGTGTGATTGTTGTTCATGCGGGTTTGATTGCTGTTGATGTGTGTTTGATTGCTGTTGATGTGTGTTTGATTGCTGTTGATGTGTGTTTGATTGCTGTTGATGTGGTTGAGATTGTTGTTGTTGTGGCTGTGACTGATGTTGATGTGGTTGAGGTTGTTGTTGTTGTGGCTGTGACTGATATTGCTGTTGTTGTGAATGATGTTCATGCATTTGTAATTTATGTTGCTCTGGTTGTGACTGATGGGATTGTGATTCCTGTTGCTGTGGCTGTGGCTGTGACTGATGTTGGTGTGGCTGTGATTGTTGTTGTTGTGACTGATGTTGTTGTTGTTGTTGTGACTGATGTTGTTGTTGCTGCAGTGATTGATGTTGTTGATGCGTTGGTTGATGCTGTTGCGAAGATGTAGTCTGTGACGTCGAGAAATGAAGCTGATGCTGATTTGGTAACGTCGGAGAAGAACTCTGTTGACTGTCTTGTGATGCTGTAGGTGGAGATGACAGGGAATGTTGCTGGTGTTGTGACGCCAGTGGTGGAGACAGAAGAGCCTGTGGCTCTGGCAGCGGGGATATCGAGGAGTGTTCTTCGGGTTGTGAAGGTACAAACGGCGATGAAATAATCTGAGGTTCACGTTGTTCTAGTGATGGCTGTTGTGATTTTGATTCTTCTGGTTGTAACGGTTGTTCCTGAACGTGTTGTGCGGGCGTGAAACCTTGCCCCTCGATTTTATTGTTAGAAGCAGGCAAGTCTCCGGTGAAAAAGAGATTGTCATTTTCGACGTTCAATGAATTCAAAGTGTTTGTTGATGGTACGAAAGGTAGTGAGAACTTATCTGTTTCCTCGATTATCTGTGAGAGATCGTTGACTGGAGGAGGTAACATGAAATCATTGATGCCAACGTTTTCCGACGACGAGTAAGTCGTTGTCGAGATTTCATCTTCGGAAAATTTCGGAGGTGGTTGAAAACTGGTCGGAAGGTGTATGCTTGGCTTATTTCCCAAGGAAACAGGGATAAAGCTCCCGGTGTCTTGTTGGAAATTGTTATCATCATTAACGTAAACAACATCTTCATCTCTGGGGAAAGAGAACTCTGAAGGGTCTATGTTGACGGAGGAAATGGAGTTAGCGTCTGCTATAGGTTGTGCTGCGTCAAGCTCGCTGAAGTAGTCACCAGGAGACTGTTCGGGGATGAAGTGTGGTGGCCGCCGGATGTCCGACTGGACATGATGTGGTCCCACACCGGAGGGATGGAATGAGTTAGGTACAGCGACGGGGCGCCGGGGAGGGTGCCGGGGATAACCTGGTCTCCAAACCGCCGGCTTGGGCTTCTCGCGTCCCCGATGACTGCCTCGGGGACGCTGGCGTCCGCCCATGAAGGGAGCGATAAGGGACGTGAACAAGTTGCGACTCTGACTGACCTTCGTGGGGCTATCGTCTTTGGAGGTCTCTTCGGATGTTGACCAAACCCACTTATCTGCATCAGAAGCCGTCATTTCCATTTCTCTGGCCTCAAGAGGAGTGTCGTTTTCCCAGGTGTGTGAAGCTCGAGGTCCAGCTCCGGAGGTAGCCTCAGTGGCGTCCACCTGACCCAGAGGCGAGGGCGAGGTTGGAACCCACAACGTCACTCCCACCATCACCACACACACCGCCGCACTCTGCAACGTCCACAAATAGTTTACTTTTTTGTTTGGTTAAATTAGGTCATTGTAAATCATATATCCATCCTATGTGTGGTGGTGAATTTACACAACAAATTTACATTTGTTGTGAGCTAGATACAGTTTTCTTTTACCTACAGTTACAATGATCATAAAATACACAAGTAAGAAACCAAGAGTCAGTCCGAGCTTACTGACCTTGTATGCACTCTGAGGCAACCTTGGGATACTTGCCTAGGATTTTAGGCAATATTGACACGTCTTGGATTTTTCATATTTAAATACATAGTGACATAGATCATGTGAAAAATTTTACGAATTCCTACAGGAACATCCTTGACCTTCTCTGTAAAAACACAGACGCTGAACAAATCCACAAGGGCCGTGACGAGGATTCGAACCTGCGTCCGAGAGCATCCCAGACGCTGCCCGACTCATCAGCTCTATCATGCATCCAGATACCAGTATGAGATGGAATCTATTAGAGACATATCTGATTCCATCATAATAATTTTAAAATGTCCGTGTTTTGCATGTGACACAAAGATGTTACAGATATGTCTTAAGGAGTTTAGTGCAATCATAAATACATAATAGTTACTTGCAAGTAATATGCCTTTTGGATACATGTACACATTTAAGTGCAAGTAGTATGACCAATATTTCGGTCTGAAGAATGGAAGCCCAGATATATTCAGCATCCACACTCAGCAGCCCGTCCTTCTAAGGTGTCCCCACGTCAAGAAAATGGTCAAATTAAAGTGTCCTCCCCTGTACAGTACAGCAGCACCCCTTACCTATCAGTACAGCAGCACCCCTTACCTATCAGTACAGCAGCACCCCTTACCTATCAGTACAGCAGCACCCCTTACCTATCAGTACAGCAGCACCCCTTACCTATCAGTACAGCAGCACCCCTTACCTATCAGTACAGCAGCACCCCTTACCTATCAGTACAACAGCAGTGTCAGCAGGTGTACCACAGGTGTCCCGGAGGCTGGTGCCACACACCTGCACAGTGCCACCTTCTACATCTGCCTCGCACATCTCCCCTACCACCCCCCTCCCCTCCACACCCTCACGAACTATTTTCCACGGATTTTTTCACGGAGAAAACCGTGAAAACCCGCCTGGGGCGACGATAATTGATGAGTGCTTGGCTATTTTACCGGCGTATTAATTACAAATATAGTGAGGAAGACTACGTACGTGGCTCCCTGTGTAAATGTAATATTGAGTTACTGTCAGCGGGTCAATATTGTATAAGGGATATATAGAATTTGAGTTACTATCAAACTGAGGACCCACAAACACCATACGCAGGTTTACATACATATGTATATATGTAGGATATTTGAGGTGTATATATACCTCGAAATCTCTACTTCTTTTAAGGGTCTGATGTGGTGTAGTGGGTTAAGGCGTACTAGTTATGCCAGCTACTGGAAGGTAGTTGTGCTTTCTGGGTTCGAGGCCCACTGGTGGGTGTTGTCCAAAGATTATTAATGTATATATGTATGTACGTTCCTGTATGAATACATACATACATACATACATACATACATACATACATACATACATACATACATACATACATACATACATACATACATACATACATACAGGAACTTTAGTGCACATGTAACCCAAGTGCCCAGGGTCTCAGAGCCTATTGACAGGAACCTATGAAAATTTTCTAGGTAACACATAGGTAACGCCCCTCGCGAGCGGCGTGTCTACCTACGTTTGAGTCCTGGCCAGATTGATTGATTGATTGATTAAGATTAAGCCACCCAAAAGGTGGCACGGGCATGAATAGCCCGTAAGTGGTGGGCCTTGTGAGCCATCACCATTAACAATAGATGATACTGGAGATCTGTGGAGGTGCGACTGCACACTGCTTGACGGGAGATGTCTCCCTCGTCCTGGCCAGACTCCTGGGCGCCAGCCCTTAAAATGTTCTTAAAGTGCTGGTTAGGATTTAGCATGTTGCTGCTGCTTCCTGGCTGACCGATCTCACCGAGGCATCGGATGGTGTTGCCAAAAACAATGAGCCTGAGTCCCCCCACCCCCTTCTTTTTAAAAGCACAAAGGCCGCCCTAAAGAAGCCTGATGAGCTCAGGAACGTCGCCAACCAGGCACATGATGGCAAGTTCGCCTTCTAGCCGAACCTGTGAGTCCGGCTACGTCCCTCTTGCTGAAGCTAGCCTGGGCTACCTGAGGGACTGTCCAGTGCATCTAGTACTCGCAGGGGTTGAGCTTAGCTTATTTGGTCCCGCCTCTCAACTGACAGTCAACTGGTGTATGTGATCTATATTTTAAGATATATATGGAATGTGTCTCCGCCACATCACTTCCTAGTGCATTCCCACTGATCGATAACTGATACAGGAAACGTGCTGGATTTTTTTGCCTGGCGTTCACAAACATATGTCACCTCGAATCATATAAATATATACTGCAAAAATAGAAAAGTGTCTAGAAATGCACGTAATGTTCCACTTTTTAACTCCGACAATAGGTTTCGCTTCAACAGTAGGATTACAGACCAATTATGGCCATTATATCGGCCACACACTACTCTACACCTCTGTAGGCGCGGTATAATATTCTAAACTGTGATAATTGAAAGTTCTCGACACGTGTAAATATATTATACAATTGTAATTGCTCTTATTATCAGCAGAAATAACCGTTATTTAAATATCCCTTTTAAGTAGTTTAATGACAGTGACGATTGTGATATGGCAGATTTCGTTACATGCGCTCCCAGCTCTCCCGTGAATGATCTTTTTTCCCCTATAATATTATACATGAATGGTATATATGGCTATTGTCATGCACCCTCTCTACTTTCACCTTCACCGCCTTGAACATATTCATTATCTCCTGTTACACTATAGATTCATACGCTGCCTTCACCATTCAACATTCCACGACATAAGGTGAAATATTGCCCTTTGTTAAGATATAAAATACGTTTGATATTGACACACAACACGACAAATCTAACCACCGGACCTTATCTAAGACTAAATATAAACAATATTTACTGATCATTATTAATAGTGACCGGGACAAAGGAGTTGGTGAGTTGTGATTCGTCTTTATTTTTTCTTTAAGAGTTTTTCAAGCTGGCAAGGGCGGATCCTTTGTGTATATTGTGCTGTGGGTGACAAGCGTCTCGTCTTGCTGAGCGTGAAGCAGTTTTTTGTTTTTAAATATTGGGAGTTAAAACTATATAAGGCACTGGAATCGATTAGGTTATTCATAGCCATGTTCTTCCTAACACATGATCGCTTTACATTCATGCCCTCAGTTGCCCAAATGTCTACCCATCCCCAGTGGTAGTTCTTGCTTGGGAGGCGACCTTGTGAATGAGTAGGTCCCATAGAGGGACTAACAGGTCTAACCCTGTTCTAAAACTCTTCTTGGACAGATGTAATAGAACACATAATCACCAAACCAGAAATAAATATATCTTTGATATCCCCAGAGTCAAACTTAATTTGTGTAAACACTCTATGCAAATAAAGGGACCTAGTCTATGGAACTCACTCCCTAACGAATTAAAACGCTGTCAAACTTTTGCCTTATTCAAAAATAAAAATAAAATGTACCTAATCTCATCTTCATAGTTTCCTGCCTAGTGCTTGAAATTCGCATTGTATCTAGTGCTACCCAATTCCTCATAATATGTACCTATGCCATACAACTTTACCATTGTAATCATTGTTGTTATCTTATATCATGTTATACACATGGTCTACTACATTATATCTTGCAATAATCCTCAAACTATGCTAAAATGTACCTGTGGATAACCCTGAAATTTATTTTAATGTACTTACTTTTTTTCTCTGTCAAATTTCTTATACAATGTTTTTCATATACTTGCTTACAATGCATTTTTTATACCTTCTTATAATGTATCTTTATACTTTCTTATAATGTATTTTTATACTTTCTCACAATGTACCTAAACATTTTTTAATTTTGCTAGACATTTCCTTCTTAAAATTATATGTTAGATTAAGAATCTGCCCGAAACCCTATGCGTGCTAGTGGCTTTACAAGAATATAAAACTTCCATTCTCTGTACTCTAATAAACCCAATGTACCTTCTTAAATATAAATAAATAAACAAATAAATAAATAAATAAAATTAACCACATCACTACATGGCGCTGTTGCCTCTTATGTATCTATGTAACACTTTGTATCTTTTAAGGAAGGGATTAACATTTTCTACCTTGTTCAATATTATAATATCAATGAGATCAGCCCTATTGTGTCCGGTTTGCAGAGTTGTTAATACTGAAGTGCTAAGCCTTTCCCGGTATTAAAGTTTTCAATAACTAACCTAACTTAAACCTAATCTAAGCTAACGTTACCTTTACAAAAAACCTTACTTGACCTAACCTAAACCTGTGTTTTAAACTATATTTGATGGCATACAAAATGTAATACTCAAAGAATTAAGTCCGATACCTACCGCTTTTAAACGTAATATTCCTTTGATATGTGTTACATTTAATAACACCATATTCGCATGCATGAACAGGAGGAGAATGGATTCTCCTCCTCATTTTCAAGTCACAATCGACTTGAGAATGGTCCAGGACGGACCGAAACGTCGTCGTCCCTTCACCTTCTAGTGTGGTCTGGTCAACATACTTTAACCACGTTATTGTGACTCATCGCCTGCAACAGGAGGACGTGTCCACCCAACACGTTCATCCATCATCAGTAAGGTTGATATAGTAGTCTACCCATTATTAATCAGGCTGATGTTATAGTTCATCCATCAACAGTGAGGTGGATGTATTAGTTCCCCAAATAATTGATGTGGTAGTTGGTTTTCAGTGACTAGATACCAGCCATCGCCGCCGGCGTCAACAAAGTGGTCACCGTAATATGTGTGCGCCACTTCCCAAACTGGGCTAGGCTATCATCTCACTCTGTGGTCATGCCGTGAAAGTTAAT